TATTATACAGCCGACCATTCTAGGACAGTGAAATTCACAAATTTTCCATCAAAGCAAACTAAAACAAGGTAACCGCTGGATCAATAATTGTCATGTTAGATTGTGTGTTCTCCACACCATTTCATCACATCACATGTCTGTCCCTCCTGCCATTTCACCCACATGCCTTTGTACTTGTTTATGCACCTGTTAAGGCAGTTGTAATCATGGGATTGCATTGTGTTTAGCTGAGCCTCATCTTCTTTGTCCATGGACTTAAGACCCTGTGGAGGATGGGAGCTAGTTCCCAAGCTAAGTCCCCAACACCTGCACCGTCTTAGGATGCACAGGTACTCAGGAAGTACTATGCAATCAACATGGCCAGCTCTCAGCTGGGAGCTTTTCCCGCCATCCCATAGGGCTCTTATCTCATGCATGCATATGGTGATGGGCATGATGTTCCAGAGACAGAAGATAATAGACTTCCCCAAAGCATGTCCTGGCACACTGACTTCTAGGAAACTCAAATCACTCAAGAGCAAAGAATGTGGGTGATTATGTGGTGTTCCATTGTCAGCACTAACTCATACCATCACAGCCAATAGTCTTCTAACTTTCATAGTGTATGTTTCTCACAAAAGTATCAGGAAATACTTTGACACTTCATCTTTTATTTTCTATCTTGTGCTGAAATAAGGAATAAGTCTAGACACAGTAGAAAATAAGGTCTCTCCTTGCAAGTAGATTCCTCTGACACTACTAAAAAAATCTGAATAGCAAGCTTCATGCTAATAGCTTTCCGTTATGCATTCCTAATGATGCCCCCGCTCCTACAGATTTGTTCTTAGCCCTCTTTGCTTCCCTTTTATTACTATGCTGTCCTTTTCTTTTCTTTTTAAATTAGTAATGCTTTGGATTCAACATGTAACTTGACAGGTAACTTAAAAAGAACACTTGTAAGAAGTTCTTTTCTCAACAAGGTCAAGATTGTTCCCATTATTGTTATAATAGCTTTCCTGTTTCTCTATATTTTTATTTTGTTTTCTTAAAATAGCTGACGGAGTTGTATTTTGCTGTTCTTGGATGAATTATAATGAGTACTAGTACTTAGTTGCATCATCAAGGGTACTGTTACTTAGTTGCACATTTAATCTAGGCTGGATATTTTATGTTTCTCAAGTATATGTTACACAGAACTGGAAATCATTCTTTGATGGAGTAAGAAGATAGAGCACATGTGGTTACTGAAGTAGATATGGATGGAATAATTGAGTATTTAGTAACTTCAAATTGGCTAAATCTAACAGCTCAAATTTTTGCATTTTTTCTCTCTTTCTAGACCATTTCCTGAACTCATCTTCTATTTTTCACCATTTGTAATGGAATCTCAGTGACTCCATTCAGACTCCCCCTAGTCTTTGTATATTACTGAAATGAATCAACCCAGTCCATGTTGACTCCCCCTAGTCTTTGTATATTACTGAAATGAATCAACCCAGTCCATGTTGATATCTCCACGTGTTAACCGGTTTGGCTCAGTGGATAGCGCATTGGCCTGTGGACTGAAAGGAATGTACAGCTATCAAATGTATATTTGGTATGTGCTTTGAGGCATATGAATTTTAAAATGCAATAATCCATTACCAAAAGAAAAGGATTTTGTTTAATGTATCCCTGCAAAGAGTGATAGCATTCCCTCTTTATCTCTTTTCAGCACAAACATGACATCATTGTGAAGTACAGGTGCAGAGTCCTGAAGTCACTCTATCTTTGGTTGTTACAGAAAGGCAGTCTATTAACTGAAGCCTGAGAATGGAGTACATTTCTTCTATTAACTGTTTATTAAGTCGACAAGCTAAGTAATGACTACATTTTTCTTTCCAATATACATCAGTTTTATGCATTTAGCAGTATTTTTCCTGGAACAGATGTGTCTTTTCAAAGCCGTCTTTCTTTCCTATGAACATAGGATTTCTTCTTAATTGTATGCTTGTAAGCTGCCACTGCATTAAATAGTGTTTCTGAACACACCACTGAGATTGCTCCGTACCGAGAGCCAACTGACATGAAAACCACAGTATCATCAAGATTGTGAGCAGCCAGCTCCCGCATCAAGCTCCCAATTAGCTGGTATTCTTTGGCTAAATATATTCCGCAGCCAATGCAGTCATCTCCAGTGCTTTGGTTTCAGAAATCTTAGAAATACCTGGGAGTTATTTGAATGTGGCAGTATTTGAGCTACGACAAGATACGCAAGAAGCACTTCACAGTCAATCAACAAACTGTAGAGTTTGACAGAGAAACACTGAAGGCAGTATCAAACTCCATCCACGTTCCTGTTTTGAATAACTAAGCAGATTATAATCAGCACTTCCCTTTATCAATAAAAAGGAGAATTCACAAAGAATCAATATCTAAAGAACATTAGGCAACTACTATTACTTTTATGATTTCCTCAATGCTAAGTGTTAACAAAGAAACCCTTTTTGAAAAGCACCAATGGAAGCCTGACACTATGTTGATAACACCTTTTTTTTCACATAAAAAGTATAATGAGCTCTTGGGTCACTTTCAATATATGGTTAGATTCTTTTTCTGCAGTAAAATTACTCTGGGGTCAAGTGACTGGAAAAGCAAGGAGAGGAAATAAAATGATTGCTCAGCAGGGGAACTGGGGTGCTGCTGTCCCGGTTAGCCTCTCCGCCCACAGCAAGATCATGGAAATTTGGCGGGAGCCCACTGGTTCTTCAGCAGCGGCCACGGACAGGCGTGATCTGGCACCCACCAGTGTCTGTCTGACAGCTGCCTGTGCTCCAGCCAGCGCTCGGTAAGTGATCCTGCAGAGGCTCGCCCTGCAATTTCCCACTGAGTCATGAGGTCAAGTAAAACCTCCACTGATGTCTTTAATGTCTTTAAATAGTCTTGGCTCTGGCAGGCTAATGTGGGTGAAGATACTGGAGTGTGCCCGTGTGTGCCTGGCAGGGAGAGGCAGGTCTCCGGTTGCTGCTGGAGGGGGAATTTAAGAGGGGACTTCAGCTGCCGCCCAGTGACACTGGTAAGATCTGTTTGCAATGGTTTGACAGAGAGCTCATGCGCAAATGTGCTAATGACCTATCGTATCTGATGATAACAACTTTCGTCTTCTATGAGTGGGAAATTGACTTGGAAGTCTGTTTGGAAAATCACCTATCCTATTAATAAATGATATGGACCCTCTTTGAGCAGCTCTTAGATGTTGGCAGCTCCGTACTAAACCTGCCTATGCTCCGACCCAGTGCCCCAGCCCTTTGCTGCTCTTTCCCACAGGGGATAAAGGGAGGAGAGGGAGGAATTAGGGTGCAATGGCTGCAGGGGATAAGGGTTTGACTGATTTCTCCCAGTCCTGTTTTTTTGTTGGTTTGTTTTTTTAGTTACTGTTCTTTGTTTATTAAGACCTTGGGGCTTGGTCTAGTCTACACCATCCAGTGTGTTCCCCTCACTCCAGCCCATCACTTACATTTCTCTTGAGAGGGATCACAGCTTGCTGCACATCACAGGAACCCACGTGGGTCTCTGTCCTTTTCACCACATTGTGGGCTCCTTGGTAGGAGGAGCAGGGCTTTACTCCTCTCGGATTCCCGGCCCACAGGAGTGAAGAGATGGTGCTAACAAATATAAGTTTAACTGAATTAAGCCAAGGGGGTATTAAGAAGTTAGACAAGTCTTGGCAGCAAACCCAAATTCTGTCTCAAAATAGTTAGCCATATTCTACAGTCAAAAGTGCGAAGACACTTGAACAGTGGGCTCTCCATTGACCTGTAGGTGCTGTACTTTCGTCACTGCCACCTCTTCATCCTAATTCTTTAACTCTCAATACACAATAAATGTTTTAGGGGCTCTCGGCTACTGTGACAACAGTAAGACTTAGTGACCCTTGTGGCAGGAACTCTAAAATTGCTCGTCCTGCTATCACATTTAACTAACAGCTGTGTATTTTTTATCATTAAAAACAAAAAAATGTAATATTTTACAGCCTTTTGTCCAAAGAGCTTTAAAAAAAATGTCACTAAAGTCCTTTTTAAATGGTCATAAGTGAAAGCCAAGTGGCAAATATCGCCCTCCCCTGAATGTTAGAAGGGCAATTACATTTTTTGTGTGACTTGTCTATGCCTTACCTTCTTTTTCCTGCCTTTAGGCTATTTTTTTCTCAATTATTATCTCATCTCTGAGAGGGCAGACCAGTAAGGGAGGAAAAGGGAAGTTAGAAAGGATGACAAGCATGGCTGGCATCTTTAGGAAAACTCAAGGACATGACAATGGTCAAGAGGATTGGGAAAGAAGGTGGACACTGCACATTAAAATCGGGTGGTTTTTATTATCTAAAAGCCATCATGAGCCAGTCACTCAGCACCACACGTAAACCTGAGCAGCTTGATGTTACTCTACGTCATTTTAGAGACAAGTTTCCTCTGATTGTTCCCCCCTGAACTCGAGGGGAAAGCTCTGCCTGACTTGGTCATCACCAGAAGGGCAGGGCTCCAGCTGGCCCTTTGGTCCCAAGTAAGGCTTGGTCCAGGCTGGTGCAGGAGCGTGTCTTGCTGTTGCTACCTGGCCTCCGGTTGCCAATTCAAGGGTTGACACCAGATGTTGCCAATGCCTCACACCATACTTGACACACACTTAGTAAATATTTAACTTTTGGATTCCATTGAATCAGACCTGCTGACCATTATTCCAAGGGCCGAATCCCATTGCTCCTCAGGAAAATTAGAGCAATTATTTCTCTTTGGAGAAAACCACAGTCCTGTTTCAATTTATATTTAGAATGAGATGACCATATTTTGGGGTTATTAGGAACATACAGAGTTCAAAGCAAACCCCTGCCTAGAAACCCCTGCCTAGAATGCCACTCAACTACAATTGAGCAAATATTAACACACGCCTTGACCAACCCAACAGTAAGAGGAGAAAGCTCAGACTAGAGAAGTACCCCGTGGGCAGAGTCCGGGTGAGCTGCCTGCGGTTCCCGCCTCCGCGGCCACTCAGCTGTGCTTTTTGTCCTTCAGGTAGCTGACCAGCATCTCCAGCCCCCCCTCCACCAGCTCGGGCAGAGGCTTGGCTAACGGGTTATGGGAAATGTGGAGCCCTTTGTCCATGGGGTTCCAAGCGATCCTCGCCAGTCTGCACAGCAGGTAGAGCTCCTCCGGGAGGGTCTGGATGTCGTTGTTGTTCAAGTTCAGCACCTCCAGGCTGGCGAGGAGGCAGAGCGAGCGCGGGAAGGAGTGGATGCTGTTGTTCTCCGCGATGAAGATCTGAAGGCTGCCCAGGCACTGGATGCTCTCGGCGATGTTCTCCAGGCGATTGGAGCCCACGTGCAGGAAATCCAGCTCCTTCAGCGCAAACACGCAGACGGGGATGTGAGCAAAGCAGTTGTTGCTGAGGTTCAGCTTGCGCAGCCGGGAGAGGTCGGCGAAGCTGGCGGGCAGCTGGGAGAGGCGGTTGTGGGACACGCTCAGGACCTCCAGGCTCCTGCAGGCGCTCAGCTCGGCCGGCAGCTCGCTCAGGCGGTTCATGCTGAGGAACAGCACCTTCAGGCCCTGCAGGAGGCTGACCTCCGCGGGCAGGCTCTTCAGGTGGTTCCCGCACAGGTTCAGCACCACCAGCCTGCTCAGCCGGCCCACCTCGGGGGGCAGAACCCGCAGCTGGTTGTGGGACAGATTGAGCCTCTGGACCTCGGACAAGCCCCACAGAAAGTCGGGGATGTCCGTCATCCCCTTGGTGACCAGGCTGAAGCTGATGTGGCGCAGGCCCCGCTTCAGCAGGGCCCGGGGGTCCCTTCCCGAGAGCAGGGCGTCATCCCACGCGGACAACTTCTGCCTCCTCCGCAGGCAGCCCATCCTCCCGGGGCCCTTGTCCTTGCAACCGGCCCTGGACTGCCTGGCCCCCATGTGTTTTTCCCTCCCCCCTCACCCCCTGGGGCTCAAAGGCTGGGATGAGTCCTACCCCAGCTGCTGAAAGCCTGGCTGGCGCGGGCAGGGAGCGCAGGCGGAGGTGAGGACAGGCCGGCGGGCAGTCACGGGCGGAGGAAGCTCCCGGAGGGTCTGGGTCAGATGTCCTAGAGGAGACGCAGGACAGGCGGTGAGGTTAGATGGTGTCTCTCCGAGCCGCGGGCTGTAATGATATACTCGTCCCTGCGGCGGCTGCGGAACTGAACCCTTCACTCCCTCTGTTTGTTGCAAGGCAGCTGTCACTGTCATTCTGCCCGGGGTTAACCAGGCTGGTGTGTGCAAACAGGTCACAGGGAGGCTTTATGTAACTCCCCCCTCTCCGCTTAGCTTGGGTACCACAGCTGAGCGGGGCGATGAACAAGCCCACCCCCAAAAAGAAGCAAAGAGGAAGAATAAAGCAGGCCACGCAAGCCCAGGCTCCATGGTGGCTGACTCATCAGGGCTCCAGAGCGAAACTGGACTAAATCCTGGTGACAGAGTTTGTTTCCAAAGCTAAGGATCCTCAGATGATAGACTCACTCATTTCAACTTTGGTGAGTTGTGTAGTTGTGGAAACGTAACAGAAGTGGCCCGGACCACTGGAATCCTCCAGGCCAGAGGTCTTACAGGGTGCTCGTCAGTGAGGAGAGAAGAAAGGGGGTCCAGACCCCCACTCCCATTTCAACCAGAGAGCTCTGGGGACCTCTGTTTTACAGGGGCTTCCGAGTGGGGTGCCCTTTAAATGTCTGAACAGCCTCTTAAGTGGCTGCCTTGGTAAGGTAAGCAGGGGGTGCCCACTGTTTTGGAAAAATACAAAAACAAAACAGTATAGAGCAGCGGTTCTCAACCTGTGGGTCGCGACCTCTTTGGCAGTCGAACGACCCTTTCACAGGGGTCACCTAAGACCACCCTGCATATCAGATATTTACATGACGATTCATAACAGTAGCAACATTACAGTTATGAAGTAGCAATGAAAATAATTTTATGGTTGGGTCACAACATGAGGAACTGTATTTAAAGGGCCAGAAGGTTGAGAACCACTGGTATAGAGCGACCTCCCTGGGTATATACCTCTTTCTCTTTCCCTCCCCTTCTCTCCCTCTCCACCTACCCCCCTTCTTGAATTTAAAAAATAAAAAGTCAATTTATACCCTAAGTAAAGGGGGTTAGTGGTTGGTGTTATATGCTGAATTGTGTCTCCTCCAAATTTCAAATGTTGAAGTCCTAACTCCCAGGACCTCAGAATTTAGAGACTGGGCCCCGTGAGAACACAGGGAGAATCCTGCCACCTGCAAGCCAAGGAGAGGAATCTCAGAAGCAACCTGTCCTATGGACACTTGGCCTTGGGCGTGTACCCTGCAGATTTATGTTCTTTAAGCCATGCTGTCTTCGGTGCTTTGTCCTAGCAGCTGATACAGCTGGGGAGGAGGCAGATATGAGGCCTAGGTAAACAAAATTAATTAATTAATTAATTATAAAAATAGGCCATGATTAAAGGGAGAAGTGATATCCGGGTCGATGATCCATGTTCTGAGAAAAGGGTTTGCAGTCTGTATTGAGGGCTGGATTGGCCGGAAAGCATGTGGCTTTTGCAGGCAGCAGCCCCCAGCATAGCAGGTGTGTGTCCTGGACAGCGACGCTGGTCCTATGACCTTGGTCTCAGAGTCCAATCACCAGGCCAGAAGCCAGAGCTGGGCCCTGACTGGGTGCTGCCTGGGACATCTGTGGGCTCATGGACTGAACGGCCAGTGTCTGGGCAGGAGCAGCAACAGGAGGTATAAAGCAATGCAAGGCCATTTCTCACTCCACTTGGCATTTGAAAGAGATCTGACCCCTTTCTACCAAGTAAACCCTTGGACAAAGGTGGAGAGTGGATTTTTTTAATGGAATACTTAAATGTTCTATTAATTGGGGGAGGGAGGTAAGGTAGCTAAATTTGTGCCCTAAGTTTTAGCAAACCATGCCTTATAAGTGCATATGACAGTAGGGTTCTGCTGTTTTATAAAAAGTTAGCTAGGCTTCTTTTCCCCTCTTTTCTCTCATGAGCAGGAGAAATTATGCTAGAATTCCTGAAATGTGGAAAATAACAGGAGCTGGGATGGTTTAAACAAGAATCAACAGCTTTCTTCTTTGTGGCAATTCTTTCTTTTTCTCTTAACACATCTCTCCAATAATAACTATTTGAGCATTTATCAATAGTCAACATTTATTGAATGTTTACTATGTGAAAGGCATTGCACTAGGCACTTTACATGTAGGATAGAAGTATTAAAATTATCTTTATTTTACAGATAAGGAAACAAAGATAGGATGAGGTTAAGTAACTTATGCAAGATTAATTCACTTGCCCAAGTTCAAGTATCTAACTAGTCAAAGTCAGACACAGAATTCAAACCCAGTTAGTCCAGTTCTACCACCTGCTGGAACTATAAGAAGACTCTGGGGTTATCCCTGTAGAAAGATGGATTAACTATGGCTAGATTGTGTGTGTTCTTTTCAAGTTGATGAAAGCTAGGTCTGGAGAGAACATCGTTAAAGAAATGACTACATTAACTACATACATAAAAATAACTACATAATTAGGCATTAATCCTGCTTTCTGTACCCCATCACAACAGGGAAAGCAAAAGTTAAAATATCATTCCAGAAGACTTTGACATAATGGATTTAATCCCCTCCAAAAATAGTTCAGTTCTTCTCTAGCAAGGTTCTCATATATCAAAAGGACCAGCTGTATGAATAGCTGACTTCATTTCTTCTAATTTTTTTGAAACATAGATACTGCCCACTTAGTTAACCATGGGTTTGCAGTCAGAGCCTGTGTCACCTAGAGCATGGTCATGGTCTCAGGCCCTGTCCTCATCTATGAGACAGGCCTTTCAGGTGGATGATTTCCCAGGGCCACTTCTCACTCTGTGAGTTGAATTCTCACTACACATGAGACCACTGTAGGGAAGTGTAAGTCACATCACTTCTTTTCTGGTAAAAGCATGCAAATTCAAGGCAGCTTCTATTTTGTTTACTTTGATATTGGTCCCTGGGGAATAAACAGTAACAGCACTGTCATCTTTCCTCTCTCCCTCCTTCCCTCCCTCCCTCCCTCCCTCCCTCCCTTCTTTTCTTCCTCCATTCCTTTTTAAATAAACTTTTTATTTTTTTTAAAAAAGAGTAACAGGTAATGCTGTTTGTTGGCTTTATGATTCATTATGGAGACCACACATCTGACTTTTTCCAAAAGAGACTTTTCAAGACTCCCTGAGAGGCTTGTAGTTTGGAGTACATCTCAGGAGGAGTCATTGTTGGACAAAGTTTTGAAATTCCAGGGCATGGTAAGTAATGTGGCTGTCTTTAAAACCTAAAAAAAATTATATAATAATTGAAATGCATTTAGCATGCTCAATGTATTTACTACATTTTTGTGTATTCCAATTGATAATTATTCCAATGTATAAAAATCGACATTTATTATTTTTTAATCCTACTTCAAATAAAACTGAAATGATGAGAGTATAAAATAGTAGGTTATAAAAACATCCAAAGCTACTCCTGAATTCACACTAATGGAATATCTATTGAAAAAAATTTCTTTTTTTCTCGCGATGGTTTTTCAGCTTAACAGACATGTCATGTCTGTTAATTTTGGAAAAAAATAAATGTGTATGTTTAAATAATTTATTAAAATAACAATTTTACTGATTTAAAAAATGTTAACAGAAAAGTATGAAGAGACAATCCAGTGAACATTTTGCATATATAAATCTATATGTTTTCCCTAAGCATATCTTCTTCAATGTATTTTCTTTCTTACACACAAAAAAAATTTTTTTCATCGTTGCACCAAGCACAGCCTGATGCTGGGTTTCACAGACATCTGCAGAGAGGCTCCGTTAAACCACCATGTCCTCAGGACAGCCCATGGTTAAGCATCTGTAAAATGCATGCAATGACGAAACCCAAAGTATATAACAAAATCCCCTAAACCATGGTTACTGATGCCATGATCCACAGTAGAGTGATGGTACATGGTGATACCCCAGTAAATGATAGATTTCACATAAATGGTAGGTATTATACACAAATACCCATCACATATACATGCCCCTGGATGCATTTACTGAATATTCTCCATGCCTTTGATTTTTTTGTCCTTTTTCATGAACTTTACACTCTCTTCTGGGCCAATCAATGTATCTGTGAAGCATCTCTTATCTATCTTTCACTCACCTTACATTTACAGAGTATTTACTTAGTGTCAAGAGCTGTTTTAGACACTGTTACATGGTCTCTCTGATTTTCATAAGACTCATGAGGTCAATATTGTTAACCTCATTTAAATCTGGTGAAGCCAGCCTTCAGCGGGGTTAATTGATGCTCCAATTACAAACCTTGTTAGTATCAGCATTATTATCAACATCTAGTCTTCTGCTCTAACTCCTGTTCTCTTTCTACCATGCAAATACCTGGCTTTCCTCTGCACAGATTATTTTTCTTAGTAAAGTGGCTTATTATTACTCTGATAGAAAATGCCCCAGCTTTACAGCTCACAGCAATCGCATTGAAAGGTAGCAACAGCCTGGCGGTCAATGTCATAAGCTCGGGTTGCTGTGGCTGGCCATCTTGGGTTGTAATCTGAGTTTATTACTGAAAGCTGTGTGACCTTGGGCAGGTTACTTAGCTTGTCTGGATTTCCATTGCCAGTGTTTTTACTTGAACTCAAAGAAGAGCTGAGATGGGCGTCTGGCTGGTTCAGGAGTGGGAGACAGCATGTGCAGACAGACGCCTGGGTTGTTCTTGAGCGAAGCTCTGTCTATGAGCCACTGCTCTGGCACTCAGCAGTCACATAAAGCCGCACATTCTGGTCTCAGCCTCAGAGAGGAGACAGACAAGGTATGAAGAACAAGGAATACAGCTGAGGGTCACTGCAGCCCAGTGTGAACAGATGGAGAAGAGTTTTCTTT